TGGAACATATTCCTACCTTTGAAAAACAAAACAAAACGATATCCTTACCCAATGCCCCACAGATCTGCATAAGCAAAGGACTTTTCCTCCATGTAGGTTTCACTGATACATTCCCCCCGCCCCCAGTGGTCTAAATGTTTTCCTTAACCTGAAATAAGTCAAAGACTGGACATATTAAGAAAGTCAATGAGAGAGAGAAAAAAAAATGTACTGTTCCCCTCTGAAACTGGATTGGAACACAAAGCTGCAGCTGATTCTGCAGCATGCAGGGAGACAGATGTCCATTAAAAAAAAAGAAGTGTACATAAAACAATATTTCCTTTCCATTATCTCACATTGCAGCAACTGCCTACTTGTACCTTCAAGTAACAAGAAACCCAGTGGGTTACATAACCAAAGTGACTCAAGTACTGGCAAATTACTTCCTGCTACCACCACAAAAAAAAAGAGAGACTAGCTTGGCAATAGAATTAATGCTGCTTTTGTGCCTCATAAATTGAAGGAAGCCTCCGACAGATCTAAGAGCTTCATGGGGGACACCAGATCCAATCTTCTGAAAGATCAGCACCACCAGCAGCACCTCCAGAGCAACTTCCGCAGCTTGGCTTAACCCGGTCATAATACCACCAAACCCTGAACACCCTGGTGCCTGGGCAATAGACAAAGAGAGAACTCTGTTCACTTTAACAGGTATGGTTCTCAACCAAGCTTAGAGATGAAACTGGGCCAAAAATTTGGATCCAGCTCAGGATCAAAACTTCCCCAAAATTCAGGGATTTTGTTTCTGGTGGTTTGGTTGAGGCAGAACACAAAATTGAGCATTAAATGATTCCTGGTTTCAATTATGTTAATGAAGCTCTGAGAGGAATTTACCTTCCCTCCTCCCCGGCCCTCCCTTCACAAAAAAAATCACTGCTAGTGCAATTAAGTCCCTTAACACCACATCAGCTGTCCATATGAAAATATTGAGTGAGTTGCTTTGCAGCCCACTGTGATGTATATTAACATTAATACAGAGGTCGCTCATTCAAGAACAGGATCTCTAGCCATTTAAACTAACAGAGCATTCCTAATAGCTGTCAAAAGGAATAGCACTAAGGTCCTCTGTCGAAGTCTAGACACACAGGCAAAACGGTTTTGAGTCCAAGTTCCACAAATTCAATCCACTGGAAGATTGAGATATTTTTTTCAAAGCCATTTTGTAGTTCAAGGAGTATTTAACTTACCATGGGACTGGTGTGCAACAGTATGCCAGATTCATTGTTGAAGCTTTTGCTTCATGGCAATTTTTGAGGTTTCGACATTTGTTTTGTTCTGCACTGGAAGGAAGAAACCTTTTGGACATTTTCATGAAATGGAATGATGTCAAAATGTCTGTTCTTGGATCAAGAAGCTCAGGTTTTCAGTCTCTGACCAGAGAGTTCCGGACCACAAAAAAAGCCTTCCTGACAAAACTTTGTTGAAACCAATACAACCCTGTGGAACATTGTCAAAAATGTTCTGACCAGCTCTAATTATCATATTCTCCTAAAAGGCATGAAATTAATTCTGGAATTGCTGCAGCGATGAGTGAGGTTTGACCAACTCAGCATGCAGTCCCCTCAACATTCAACTGTGCCAACATAGGATAAAGGAGGCCAAACGTATATAAGAAGGAAGATAAGAGAAAAATCTGGACAGGAAACCTGTTACTAGTGCTGTAGACATTCCCTCTAGTTGCTCCCTTTCCTTAACGCAGAGAGATTAGCACCACTGAAGACACACACACACAGAGGTCACATTTCTGTTCAGTTTTATATTTGCCAGGTAGCCAAAGCAACTGATATTATTTTGGGGAGGAATCTCTGTGGCTGTTGTACAGAGAGGGGGAGAGCAAGCAAGCAAGTCTGGCAATTCATCTCTTCATTTAGATTTGTAAGATGTATTCTGGACAAGTCAAGGGCAGCAGTGGGTAGGAAAGAGATTTCAGTAAAATCTGACACCCACACAGAGAACGGGGGGCAGCAAAGGAGCATGTCAAAGTGCTGTAGCAAGGTTGGGCGGTAACTACTCTACCTAGTGAAATTAAATTAATCTTGTCCATCCCATGCAGCTAGTGATATGCTATGTGGTAAAACAAAGACATGGCTAGAAAGGCCTCAGGTTAAATAAACACTTAAGCATCTAGCCCCTTTTCTAAAATATTGTGAGGAAAAGGAAGTGACTTCTCAGTATCCCTTCACCTTGAGAGTGTTGACAGAAGATTTTAAAGCTCTGGCTTCCTATATTTAGTGCTCATGCAACCCAGGCAGCTCTTTGTAATGCAACACCATCACCATGCCTGCAGGCAACCATAGTGAACAGAGAGGTCAGGAATGTTTAGTGACACAAGCTACTACATTTTTTGTTAAAATTGGATTATTTAAAGTTTCTTCAGGTTGTAAAAATATTGTCATCACTATGCATCAGTTCTTCAGAGCCAGTGGTGGGAGAGCACTCGGATTCACATATCATTCCCTCCAATCCCAGATAGTCCCAATGCCACCAGTTCCCTGGTACACTCTCACGGGAGTCTTTTGCCCATACAGAACTCCTCTGGAGGAAGGGTGTTATAGGGTTGGATAGCATACTTAAGTACTTTTCCATGCAAAGAGTGACAAGCCCTTTTTACTTATCTCAGATTCTTTATCAGGGCCTGGAGAAAGCTATGCCTATGTCTGGAATTTCTGGGTGGTAGGAGTTCGTTAAAACTCTATTAATATAGGTATATAAAGAGACACTAACAGCATCACCTTGAGTGGACAAGCCCCTTCCCCACCCAATCCCTTCTTTTGGTGTAAACCTCTAAGTGCGGATATAAATATGAGAGTAATTGGTACAAGGCAAGAGTCTGCATTAGAATCCTTCCTGCAAGAAAAGGTATGAAAATTAAGTTCCATTCCAAGGAATGTGCCTGGTTTACTGATTAGTGTTTTGATGAAACCTGTGTATGGACTTTTACTGGGTTTGGTTTTATGTCCAAAGAACTTTAAGCAGTTGTTATTTAGACAAATAATATATGAAGGGATGCCTATCCAAAACTCTACGCGCTCCTGCCATAAGTTATGAGAACAAAATTAGATCACTCACAGAACAAACTCTGTCCACCCCCAACACACACAATTTCTTTGAGAGCCTCACCTCAGAGTGAGAGAACCCTACAGCTGTGCCCTATTTCGGGGCTTCATTAAAGAACTCAAAAGGATCTTTCAGTGAACCTACTTCCTTGTCATCACAATCCTAGACAGACTGAAGTGACATTTTAGAGATGGGGGCAAAAGGGGGGAATTAACTTTCAAAAGAAAAGTGCTGCCTTTGATAGTGCCTCTATTTCTCATGTGTTTTCACTGCAGATTTGCATTGATTGCTGGCACTTCCTATCTTCTTGACACTTTTGGTTGGTAGAGGCAGACAACTAGGCAGCTATTAGCCTAATGCTGCATCCCGTACACAATCACACAAGAACTCCTGACTGAAGTTGATGAAATGCAGGAGTAAGTTTGGCAGGATCAGGCTGGGGCCTAAGAGAAGTACATGTTGGACTGCAACAATTCTATTTTGAGGTCTTAAGACCCATGTCCTACAGCGTATGAACACAGGACTTAAAATGTTGTTAGTCACCTTTCCTTTGTACCCAGCAAGTAATTAACATGCCCTGTGACATTATTCCCAGACAGATAGTTCCGGAGAGTTAGTGCTTTCAGTGCTGAGATGGACTGTACAATACATGTGACAAATGATGTAAATCTTAGCTTTAGAGTAAAAGTCTGCTAGATTCCCCTGCTCCAGCCCTCCTTCCGCCCCCATCCCTCAATACCAGCAGTGGCTGGAGCTGAAGCTCAGGAAAGTGAGGAATCCTTTGCAGTGCCTAGAACAGGGGTCAGCAACCTTTCAGAAGTGGTGTGCTGAGTCTCCATTTATTCACTCTAATTTAAGGTTTTGCGTGCCAGTAATACATTTTAACATTTTTAGAAGGTCTCTTTCTATAAGTCTAGAATATATAACTAAACTATTGTTGTATTTAAAGTAAATAAGGTTTTTAAAATGTTTAAGAAGCTTCATTTAAAATTAAATTAAAATGCAGAACCCCCCCGGACCGGTGGCCAGGACCCGGGCAGTGAGAGTGCCACTGAAAATCAGCTCGCGTGCTGCCTTCGGCACGAATGCCATAGGTTGCCTACCCCGGCCTAGAGCCTGGCAAAATGCAGACATCTTGGACAGTACATCTCTCATAGTGTGGCACATCTTACATTGCTAGATTCAGTCATAATCTGCAAAAACCCTGGTAAACCTGTTCAGAGCAGCCAGATGTGTCATACTGTATAGTAATTGCATGATTTAACATTAGGTTGAGACCCACTTAAGATATGAACCTAGATCTCACCACTATGTTAACCCCTTGGGCTACTTTGCTCTCCTAGAATGGATTTTTAAAAAGATCTATATTGAAGAGCAACAATACATAATGGAAGAAACTTGAAAAAATACCCACATAGACTAGTACTGGAAAGTCATCCATACTAAGTGCAAAATCATAACGCTTTTGACAAACACAATGCAACAAGAAGACATTGAAGAACCAATATTATTCTATAGCAGTGCATGCCTAAGGACAGAAAAAGTGAGTCTTTACTCAATAGCTTCTGAAAAGGCATTTTTACCCTTCTGTCATCACTATATAGGAGATAAATGAAAAGAGTTACCTACAAAAATTCTGAGGGCAAGGAAATGTGGCTATAGGATATTTCAAGTAGAAAAACGTGGTGATTTTATTCTTAAGATTTAACTCTCATTTACATTCTTTAGAAAATAAACATATAAAGTCTCCCTTGTAGATTAGACATGCAACTGATACTCACTTTGTCAGGGTATAGTGATAGTGATTTATTACTGCTTGAATATACAAACCTAAGGATAGAAATACATTACAACCTAATGAAGCACCTTTGATTATCTGTTGGAATCAATCATCATCTTCTTACCTCAGTGTTGTCTGCTTGTGTCAGTGAGAAATGGCTGTCAGAGTCTGCAAATAGCATCTCATGGTTCTGGAGCAAATACAGCAGGAGTGCATTACAAAGTATTTGTTTTTCATGAGCCAAAGGACTGAAAGGAATTCTAAACAGGAGAAAAGTAAATAGATTAAGTTTAGTGGTGCTCAGACGATGATCCATTGATCAGTTATCCACTAATCCCTTTCTTGCAGTCTGGAGAATTTTTCAAAGCAAGTAGTTTTATCCAGTTCTTTAACATATTCTAGGACATGGTCTCGGTTAAAAAGCTCTTGGTGACAGTATATTTTCATTACAAGCATGTATATGACTAGCATAAAGTGGCTCTTTTCTTCAATTGGTGGCCTTTATGCACTGCAGTAATACGGACAAGTAGTTGGAACCTGATAACATGGGCCTGGCACTGACTAACTTGTTCATGAAAATATTTTTAAAAGGACAAAATATGGAGAGCCACAACCACCACTGGGCTTTTAATATTTTAAAAGGTGATTTCAAATTTTGCTCACTAAGGCAAACTCATATTACACATCTTTCTGTGAGGGTCCAAAGGATAACAGCCCCATGCAATCTTGTCACATCATACTTAACTACCAGGGAAACACCATAATGCAGGACACAGTCTAAAAGTGACATGAGAAAAAAAATGTTCCAATGAATTCTCTGAAGCTGCATTATATTAATAATGGATGTAATAAAGTTATAGTTAAATATACAGGAATTTCTGCATGTTCCCATTAACAATATTATATTTTTTCAAGTAGTATTTGAACTTATACTTTATCTACAAGTAGATAATGCTCTGAATCATTTAATTAAAATCAAGGGATTCATTAGTGGCATGGTAATTTTGTTTCCTGAAGGAACTGTACATTTTCCCCCATAAAGTATTTGAGACGGTATGGGCATTTACATAAGCACCAGAGCTGAATTCAGCTTCGTGCACTGTGCTAAACCAACTCCTGATTCCACTAAATATTAATATTTAAACAAGAAATTCATAAGCTCTTGGGAATTAAGTACAAATACACACATCACTCTTCTGTTTGGCAAACCAGACAGCACATTTATTATTCAAAGTGATTTAAACATCCAAATGTACATACTGGGGCTTAGTTCCAGTGTCCTAATTCCTGTCTATCTGTGGTAAAACTCCCCTTGAACTCTGAGAACTTTGTTTTAGAAAAACTTCAGGATTGAATAACGATGGCCATATGGGTTTGAGGGGGGACCCGTTACCTCTCACTGTCAGGACATTGCCGTGCTTCAGTTTCCTCACTCTGGGTAGTTTAGCCCTCTGGCCAAACTAAACCCCTCCACTTCCAGAGGGCAGGGGAGTCCAAATGATGACAGACAAGCCAAAAATACCTAAGACAAAGAAGTCTTTCACCCAGGTCCTCAGTGCCTGGGCCACATTCTCCTCTGCAGATTGTGAGGGCTCAGAGTCCCTCCAAACACCAAAACCTTCATACGCTGGGGCAGGGCTCAGGCCACACAAGCAGCCCTCCACACAGAACATACTCCTGTCCAGACTTAGGCCAGGTTTACGCTACAGCTGCTACAGCAGCAGCAACAGCACAGTAGCGTACTTAACCCTTCCAGCGACATAGAAAGTTTTTCCAATCACTTTCAAGAGGTACTAACTAAGTTAAGAATTCTAGCCACGTCTATACCAGGGGTTAGATTTGCCTAAATACAGTGCTCAAGATGCAAATGTTTTCACAGCTCTGAGCAACATAGCTAGGTTGAACTATTTTTTAATAGTGTAGACCAGACCTTACACTCCTGCTTGCCTCGGGTACGTGCCCAAAGTCCATGCCAGGCTTGTGCTATTAATGCATAAACATGCCCTCCCAAACGTCTTTCCACAGCCTATCCTAGGCCACTTCCTCAGCTAGGAGCCCCAACACCAATTTTGTCCAGTTCCTTCACATACAGAGAGGAGAAAGCCTGTGTTCATTCCACTTTCTTTCCCAGGAGGCCTTGTTCTCTGGACAGTCCCCTTGTCCAGACAGTCCCCACATGCTATGGGAATTACAATGCTCTGTTCTGGACTGAACCAGAAACAGGTCAGAGTTGGACTTTGTCCTCCTCTTAAAAGGCCAGTTTGGCCTGTGGAAGGGTCCACATTTGCAAGTTTGGGGAGTGGGGGATTTTGAGACTAGAATTTAGTTTGGCCATTCTAACAAAGACTAATTGCAAAATGTGAATCTTGGTTCAGGTCTGGAGTTCAAACCCTAAAATTCATGGAAAATATTGATTTAGCTCTAATTTTTAAGTAGCTTAAGAACAAAATACTCCTTTTCAGATATTGCTGTTGAGTAATGTAGCCACCACACACTTGCAAATTTGCATGTATTTTAAAAAGAATCTAGTTAACAAATTAGATCCAGGAACATATTCCTAGAGATGATACAACTATTGTAAAGTTGTTCTATTGGAGTAAACAGGATTAAAAATCTCCCTTGGCCTTAGACTTTAAAAAAAAAAAACCCTATCAATTTGTGTTGAAAACAAATGATGTTAGGAGGAGACCACCACTACAATGTATAATTTGGAGTAATTAAAAAGGGATCAGTGGGAATCATTAAAGATTGTTTTATCACAAATTAAATATGTGGTATTGAACCCACAGTCATTAAATTTACCAAGCCCTGTGCCTTTTCAGCCCAGCAAGCTAGAAGTAGTGCTAAGCTAGCGAGCGTGTGGAGACCTGTGCCTGGATATCAAGCCAAAAAGTAAAAGGTGCTATACTGGTAATCTTACAACTAGAACTGGTCATAAAATGAGGATGTTTCCTTTTTGTGAACAAAACACCCCACAAAATTGGGAAGTTTTTCTTTTTTGCAACTAAACCCTATAAGTTTTCACTTTCGTAATTGTCCAGACAGTCTCCATAGAAGTTTTCATTCATAACCAAAGTTTCAAAGATTTTGACAAGCCCTACGTGTGAAGGCGTAGGGCTTGGTACCAGGCCAGAAATCTAGAGGTGCTGAACAGGAGCTAAAGTCAAGGGATACTTGTAGGAATACTTCACCCCTTTCTCTCCTAAAAGCAGAGCGAAAGTTCCACCTACTGTTTCAATCGGCTGCTGTGGATGGATTGGAGGACACAGAAGGGATGAGAAGAGATGAGAGAAAGTGGGAAATATTACTAGGTGATTGGGGGTGGGAGGTGACTAGAGGGAACTCGTGGAGGGAAATATCAAAACAAGCAATGTTTAGCAAAACCAAGGTTGAGTGAGTAGCCAGTTTGAACAATTGAAGAATTGGACCAGGGTCAAGCATCAAATAAGAAGGTGACAGGACACAGAAGGGAAAGCTAAAGTCACTGAGGATGAGGGAGAGGGTGATGAGACAGAACCAGGTGTCAGAATCTGAGAGGAAGGTGGTTGGGGAGAAGACAGGGAGTGGTAAAATAACTACATGGAGGGTAAAATCAGAGAAGAGTCTGATTTAATATTTTTCTATGGAGGATATGTGGAAAAAAAGGCCAGGAGTAACAGAAGCAGGAGAGAGATTTTGCAGAGAGGTCAAGGTGACTAAACAAAGACTGGGAGCACTCTTCTCATCTACACTTTCTCCATGAGACACCCCTCCCTCCCCATTTTTTTTTTATTTTTTGTTGTTGTTCCCAGATTTGGACCTCATCAGACAGTGCAGTGAGAGGAAGCACAGGAGTTGCGGTCATTTGCATATAATGATTGTGACTTGAAAAGTATTTCAGCCAAATACCATTCAGAGTATTATGAGGCAATGTCAAGTCATCATCCATTACAGCACTATGAGAAAAATAAAATTCAGTAAGAAATCGGCCTGTGTAGTATTCATGGGTTTCAACATGAATAATTACATTAGTTTCCTGTAATTTAATGTGCAATGTGGTCACATGACATTCATACATTTTCTGGAAGGGTCTTCCCATTTAATACACATCTTACAAAGGGTTATGTTTTCCACAATGGAATTGTACTAGATCATAGTGACTAAGGATATACAGTTCAGATTATATATGTTGTAAATTGTAAAAGTGGCATGTTTTATATTCTGAGTCTGTGTCTCCTCAATTCCATGTTCTGAATATTAAGCTCCAACTCACACCATTGATTCTATGCATGTGACAGGTGTCTATAGCCATAAAAAAAAAATCAATAGATTAGGACAGGTGATAATCATGGTTAGAATTTGCACCTGGAATAGAAGTGGAGCAAAACATAAGCAGGAGGAGAGTTTGTAAACAATCTATTTAATGGTAAAGCAGTCAGAAGCAAGCACATAACAATGAAGTTTTTAGAATACACATGGAATAACTTCAACACACAGGAAGGAAAACATGAGGTGTTGCATGATTGTAAGAACTAAACAAAAATTATTTTTGGGTCCACAAGCCATTTTCAGCAATATCAGGTGCTCATTTCTGCAGATCAGTCTGGGATTGTTAGAAGAAACTCTGAAATGGACACTGGCATTGGTAAGTATAACAGGCATCTACCCAGCCTAGCTTTGAGCCTGTCACAGTCTCAGTTTACTCTAATCACAAACAGTTATCTCAGCCTTCAGTACAGGTTAGCTGCTGAAGTGACTTAGTCAGAGGTCCACCCTTTATTGAGTGTCAGTAGAAATCCAAATACCTTCCACCCCAGTTTCACTGGGACCACCCTTTCCTCTGTGAGGGTCTTCTTTTCTACAGCACACTCATCTCACTCTCCTTCTCCCACACTCAGCTTCCAAACCTCCTGGGGGTCAGTCAGTCCCTTCTCCCTCCAATGAATAGCATAGGTTGCTGTAGCTCCTCAGAGGGTAGCAGCATAGGGGAAACCCAAATCCATCTTCCACTATGAGTTCCCAGTCCTGGGGACCCTAAACTACTGGTTTCTTCCACCTCATAATTCAAGCTAAGAACATAGTAGCCAGACTGGATTGGACCAATGAGCCATCTAGCCCAGTATCCTATCTTCTGACAGTGGACAATGCCAGGTGCTTTGGAGGAAATGAACAGAACAGGGAATCATTGAGTGATCCATCCCCCGTCGCCCACTCCCATCAGAGGGGACACCCAGAGCATGAGGTTGCATCCCTGACCATCCTAGCTAATACCTATTGATAG